ACACACACACACACACACACACGCACGCACATACGCACACAAGGTATTGAGTAAGACATAAGATAGACAAAAAGCCAAGGGGGACAGGCCACGGAATGGCCTTTGCTATACTAGAAGGCTTGAGAACAGAATCCAGGAAGGACCCTGAGAGCTTGAGAGCCTGGCAGTGCCTGGGGTAGATGGGAGAGGAGCAGAAATCTCTCTTCTGGTCGCCTGGGAAGAATAGAAACATTGCCCTCTTGGTATATTCAACGCCTGGCACACAGAAGGTGCTTAAATAATGAATCAACAATCCCTGTCTAAAACGAGAATGAATCCAAGGGTCCTCAGTCTTGCCTGGAGGCAGGGGAATGAGGGAGATGACCTCCCAAGGACCTTCACCTCCAAGGGCTTAAGGTCATTATTGTTTCTTCCTTCCCCCTTTCAGGCTGGATACAAACACTCTGTTTGAGACGTTAGTGTGTGTGTGTGTGTGTGTGTGTGTGTGTGTGTGTGTGTGTGTGTGTGTTGTGGGGGGAGAGGTGCTCTTCCTCACCCTCAGGCCTGTTTAGCTCCACTTCCTTCCTGAAGTCCCTCCCAGTGACCCCATCTCAGCTATTTCTGGAGCTGGACTCTGGGCAGGGCCCAAGCGGGTTCCCAGGGCTCTGTGGGTCACCTGCCCTTTGGAGAACCTGGGGTGAACAAGACCTCACCACCAGTTTTTAGCCAAAAGACTCGGGCTAGATACGGTCTTCTAATTTTAGAGAGGCAATTCAGTTACATAGGCTGTATTGTGGAAGAGCCCGAGTGAGGCCTGGCTCAGCATCCCTTGTGAGATACACCCCAAGTTCAGAGAACTGTAAGAATGCTCAGTGTAGGTGGGATAAAAGAGACTCATGCCAGCTGAGGTCAGGTTTTGCAACCCAAACAAACCAAACCCAAACAAAACAAACCCTACTGCTTTCAGAACTCTTTGATTTTGGAATTGAGGGCCTGGGTTACCCATCCGTGTAGGCACTGAGTGACTGATCAGGGCGGAGCCACATGCACCATGCTGCGAGGGGCGGGGGGGGGGGGGGCATTTTCACGTTTGTTGAAAGACAGAATGAGGCTGTAGAGGCTGTAAGTCCCTGGTGTAGGCCAAGACCATGGGTCTGGAGGTAGGCAAACCTGAGCTGAAATGCCACCACCGTCACGTGTCATTGACCGGCTGTGACCCAGGGCACATTAACCTCCCTGAGTGAGCTTCCGCATCTACCAAAACAGCGTGCTAGTGGTATTGTTATTTTGAGGATTAAATGAGACGCTACAAATAGGAGCGCCAACCCAGGGATTGAGCAGAGCAAGGGTTCACAATAGAAATGGAACAAAATTATTCTTTTATTTAGACCCAGTGCACCTGCGAGGATTTCTAATTTGCTCTCTGAACTCCCAGAGGGGTGCGGGACCCCAGATCCTTTTCTACTTCTGGCCAGTCTCAGGGGACGGTCTTGCACATTCTTGGATCCCACACCACTACCCCATGCCCCAGCACCCTTGCCGAGATAAGGGAGAAAGCGGGTTGATTCCTAAAAAGGCTACTGGACCTTCTGAGCTGTGCACCCCTGCCCCCACCCCCACCCAACCAGAAAGGAAAATCCCACAGACCTTCTGTCCGCATGTACCTGATCCCGGTTCTTCATCAGCTCAGAGCTCAGGTTGCTTAGGCTCATCTGGGTCTCTGTGATATCGTGGGCATATCTGGAGAGGGCCTCAGCCAACTGGAGGACAAGAAAACAAAGGGCAGACCCCCAGAGGGTCCTCAGCTTGGGGTGCTGGTGGCAGCCTGACTTCCCCCCAAACTCTGCGCTTGACAGTCCACCCACCCCCCGGCCTCACTCACAGCCCGCAGCTTGGACCTCAGCTCTGTGACTCTCTTCAGTTCCTGCATTTCAGGCATCCCAGCCACACTGCTGAACCTCCAGGGAAGGACAGAGAAAGGACATGTCTGGGGGATTGGGAGGCAGAGCTCCGTGACCGCATGCTGAGTATGACATCTTTGGGGCAGGCTTGCTGGCTTCTGGGGTATGTGGGGAGTTTTGTGGTCGGATCAGAGGAACCGACTTCAAGAGGCCCCTACTCACCAAAGTCGTGCCATTGCTGAGCACTGCAAAGAATCAAGATTGAGGTGGATGGAAACAACGTGAATCTATGAAAATTCAGAGTCCATGAAGCAAGGCGACTGTTAATGAACTCCTTACTAGGAATATTTACAACTAAAGGAAAAACTGAATTTTCTTCCCAGTAGATACTGTATTTCATGATAACCGATAGCTTACTAATAAGGGGAAGCTAGATTGCATAGAATACTAGCCAACAGTATTCCAGGACCTGGTATTATTAGCATCGTGTTGCCCCCAGTGAAATTGTTTGTTTGGGGATGGTGTTAAAACAAATGACTCATGATTAAGGCATGGACACTTGTGTTCTGCCAAAGTGACAGCACACTGGTTCTTTCACAGGGAAAATGTGACCGCACAATAGAGGAATTAGCCTGTCCCCACCCAACGAGGGGAAGATATGAAGTGTGCTCAGTGTCACTAGCACGTATTTCGGCAAAAAAATGTTCCACCTGAGTCCATCCAGGCTTCAGAACTCTCAGTTTATATAAAATGCTGGGAAAGAGGGAAAAAACCAAAGGGTATCGTGAGGAAGCACTAGGCAAGTCCAGAAAGTGGGACAGTGGGTGTTGTCCCTCCAACATGCTGGTGTCATGAAGGGGGAGGGGAGAGGCAGTCTGTCTTGATGAAAATAGATTTAAGGAGCATAACAACTAAACACAAAGTGTGGTCTTGGATTGGATCCTGGTTTGGACAAAACCAGCTAGAAAAGTAAAGCAGGGGGCTACTTAGGGAACGTTGATTATAGATGGCTTTAGATGAGATGAAGATGTATTGGCATGGGGTTGGAGAGTTCATTAGCTGAGAAAAGCAGGTTCTAGAAGAGCAAGTACTATAAAATCTCATGTTGGTGAATATATATATTTTAAACATAGAGTAGAAAACTACCTAGAAGGACGTGCACTACTCATGTGTGACAGCCTAGCCCTGGGTGATAGGACATAGCACTTTTATTTCATGCTTGCTTATCTGTATTCTCCAACTTTCTACAATTAGCATATACTATTTCGATCACGATAACGCTCAGGGGAAAAGAATCCTGTGCTTTGGCTTGGGAATGGCGGGGGTACGGAAAGCAGAGCGGAGAGAATTAGGAATGACGCGGAAGCCTCATGAGGGTAGGGGTGCCGCCCACTTTGTTCACCATTGTATCTCCAGTGCGGGGCAAAGTGCTCAGCACACGATGGTTCCTCAATACATGGTTGTTGAATGAATTAGTGAATGTACAAATGGATTTCAGGGTGTGGAATAATTGCTGGCAGAAGAGGAGGAGGCCGACCTGGTCCAGCTGGGCAAGGAGGGCAGACGGGTGTGAGTGCTACTCATAGGTGCCACCTTGCCTGTCTTGCATGATCTGGGCTCAGTCACTGCAGCTCTCCAAGACTCAGGTTCTTCATGCACATAATGGGGAGATAAATCTCCTTCCTGCTGTCCAGTAGAGTGTTCGTGGGCATCAAACAGGACCTCAGAGCTAGAGCTCTTGGCTAGAGAGCATGGACACACATTTTTGGTGGTGGGCATGGGGGAAGCACTGGGGCTCCTGGAGCAAGTCCTGGCTGCCTGAACGGGGCCACGGCATGGCAGCGGCTGCCAAAGACGACCAGGGAGCTTCGGGACACAGGCAATGACACTCTGCCAAAGGAGCCTGGCTTCGAAAGCCCGTCCTGGGGAGCCCGAGGCAGGAGGAGTGTGCTGTGGGAGAGGTGAGCAACCAGGATGGGCAATGGCAGCCACTTTATGCCTGGTGCTTGTTAAAGTACCCCAGACTCCAGAACCGACAGGTCGAAGGATGTTCAAAAAAGAATGGGATCACAAAGCGTCAGAGGCAGGAGGCCTCAGAGATCATCCAGTTCTCTCATTTTGAAAAAGGGGTAATAGTGGCTCAGGTGGGGAGAGAGAACAGTGGCCTGAGGTCCCTAGTGAAGAGCGTGGACTGACCCTCTGACTCTCTGCTCAGTGATCTTCCCGCTGTCTGTACTCCTCCTTGGTGGGAGGCTGAGATATGAAGCAGGCACTCCTGAGCCTGACTTCTCTAGACACACCAGGCCTCCAAGGGCCCTTGCAGCCAGAATGGGAAAAACAGCAGCCAGCAGACCCGGGACTCCAGGCCCAGGGCTGGGCTGTCCCTTCTCCACAGTCCTCACAGTCCAGGGCAAGTGGGCAGACAAATACCATAAATACTTTCTCTACACACTTCTTTCCTGTTCAAGAACCTACAATAGACCTCCAATGGCCATTTTATTGGGGGGTCCAATCTGCCAACTGGACCTTCTAGGACCTCCATGCATTCTCTCCTCTCCTTTCCACTCCTCCACCTTGCTCTACCTTCACTCAGGGATATTTTCCATTTTTTTCCCATTTTGACTATGGCTTCAACAAACATCACCAGCATCCCTTCCCCAGTCTCTTCAATCACAACCCCCTTTTCTGTCCCTGCACAGGACCTCCCAACTCAAGGTATTCTCTTTCACTCTGGCCTTAAAAGCTTTACCTCTTCCAGGAAGACCTCCACGATTGCCTTTCCCCATATCTAGTCTTTCTTTACCCAACCATCCTATCACCTGGGAAGAGCTACCTCCTGCAGGGGAATGTGGGCCCCTCTGTGCATGGGGCCACATCTATCCCTGGACCCCCTTTCTGTGCTCTGGACAGAGCTTTGAGGAGCAGTGCTGGTGCCCCTGCAGCCCCTTATCTCTACCAGCCAGGCCAGAGACTCTGTTCTGACATCTAGAGACTCTCCTCTGCCTCCTCCCGCACCACTACCACCCTATCTGCCCCATCATCAGCATTGCTGCCGCCAAGCAAGGGAGCAGTGAGTCAACCCACTGCTGGGAAACTCCCGGGACCTTCCTGAGGATAAGGGCCAGGGGGTGTGAGGGGTGGGGATATCAGGCACGTTCACGCAGTTTCTGCTCCTTGGTCATTACGTGTTTCCTTCTGGTGGGGAAGGCTTTCCTGGCCTGCAGAGCCCCCTTCTCTCAACTGTACCATAGCCCCCATGCCTTCCAAGATTCGGGGCGCTGTGCCCACGGCTCGGAAGTATTCCGGCCAATGGAGTCCTCCTGCTTCTCATCTCCAGACTCTTCGGCTTGGTTCCCTCCTCCCCTTCTTCCCAGTCTCCTCACATCTGGCCCATCACCCCTAATTAGCCCAAGTCCGAGGAGCAGTGGGCATGGGGCCCCAAGGCAGGGCCGGGGGAGATGAAGAAGGTGAGGACAGAGACAGTAGGAAGAATGTGGAGGATGAGACCACCCGATCCCAGCTCTGTCAGGTCCAGGGGGATGCCGTGCTGCTCTGGGGCTTGGGACCTGCTGAAGAAGTGCCCCCATGGGCCCTTCCCCCCACCCCCTGCAGTGTCTGGGTGGCAGGGGAGGCATGCACAGTCACCTAGCAGGGTGGGGGATGAGGGACAGGGCAGGAGTGCCCCCTGCACGCCTGGATGGCAGGGAGGGCAAGAGCTCTGGGTGTGGGGAGGTGAGGGGCGTTATTGGAAATATTGGGGGTGAAGAGCAGGCAGACAGAGAAGGGCTGAGGGGTCCGAGCCAGGCTCACACCTGCAGCAGCCCACCCTGCCCTGGGTAGGACACCCACCTCTCAGTGCCCAGGCTGCTGCTGAGGAACAGGAGGGCCATCCGCGTGACCTCCAGCGTCCGCCTGCATGTGGCCTGGAGCATCTCCCTGCCGAGGGGTGCTGAGTCAGAGCTCTGTTCTCCCCGGGGACCGAGGGCACAGCACCCTCGGGAATGGCCCCCGGACCATGAGGCTCGCCCGGTTTGCCCTCTCCATCCACCCTCGGGGTACTTACACGAACCAGTACAGCCCCCGAAGCATTAGTTCCTGCCCGGCCAGCAGGGCCCGCGCCAGCCACAGGGCCTGGTAGCCAGCGCCCAACACGCTCTGAAACACACAGGAGGCAGCGGTAGGTTTCCCACCCGACCCCCTGCGCGACCCCTCCCTGCCCCCCGGGCTGCCTCTCACCTTGGCAGTGCTGTAATCCGCCTGCAGATCCACTTTGGGGAAGAACTTGGGGATGTCCTGAGCGGCTGCAGACAAAGGCCCTATCTGAGGGGGTCTGGACGAATCCTAAGTTCCTCTTTCCTCATTCACCACGCACATCCACCCCCACCCCCTCTTCCATCTCTAGCTTCCCACCTCACACAGAGCCCCCCCCCCAACCCTGAATAAATGCACTTTATGTGCTCCTTTACAAGTGCAGTCTCTCACTGCCCCCTTATGTCCTCTTTGGAGAACTGCAGCCTTACATCCAAGGTCCCAGAAACAGCCAGAAGATGGGCTAAAACCACCCTCATGCCCAGGAGTCTCAAGGTTAATTCTCCTTTCCAGCATTGGAGACTCTGAGGAGGATGGGACCAGCATCATTCAAATGAGAAGGAATGATACTTTTTCTAGAACTTGGAATACAAAGCTCTGGGCCCCTGACCACCTTTCCTTCTCTCCATCACCTTGGACTCCTGCTTCCTCCAACCCAAACTATCTGAGGCCTTCCCACCGATTGCAGAGATTGTGGAAACATTAAATCCAGATCCCCCTGTTTTGACTGAAGTTTCTTTCACAGCTCCGTGGCCACTGCGAAGCCCAGGGAGGGAGGTCAAGCCACCTGCCTGAGTCACATGGCATTTTAGTTACATGGTGTAGAATTAGAGGCCAAATCTGCCTTCTGCACCCTTGGGGTGCAAGGAAACACCCACAGAAACATTAATCGATACCTTGGATCGTAAACCCCTGCCCCTCGTAGCAAAGAAGAGCCAGCCTGAGTGGCCCTACTCACGGTCCCTGAAGGCCAGCCCCTTGGGGGTCTCGCTGGCCATGCTGAATAGGGTCAGGGGGCTGCTTGCTGTCGTGTGGGCGATGTGCTGCGCTGAGAGGCTGGGCTCAAGGACACAGACATGACCCTCAAAGAGGTACTCCTGATGCTGGGGGGCCACACTGGTCTGCTTGTACACGGCTTCCAGAAAGATGGCTACCCTAAACACACAAGGGAGTTAGGGGGAAAGGGGGAGGGTAGGAAGTGTCAGTAGTCAGGGTAGGGGTCCAGGGGACCCAAACCCCAGCTAAGTCCTTATCCATGGAGAAGGTCAGCTTTTCAAAGGGAGGGACCGGGTGACTTCCTCTCTTATCAAGGGTGGAGAGACAAAGGTTGGAGCTCATGTCTTAGGGTGGATGGAGACAGTGGGAACAGAACACAGGAGCTCCAATACCCAGCCTCTACCTTTACACCCCTTTCCCATAACCCTCCCAGTAAAATTCACCTAGTCCTATAAAATGCTCCAGAAACAAAGGGTTCCATGAGCAGTACTTTTGGAAAACACATTGCCAACACACGCACACACGCATGCACACATGCACACAGGTACCCCTCAGATTTCTAATGCACATTACCATCGTAGAGATTGTTGAATCTGTGGAGTCTAACAGCAAGGAAGAACCGTTTTACTTTAACTTTGTGGAACTAGTATTTTCCAAACTAGGATTGGACCCAGAAGCTCTCCTATCTAAATAGCCCACACAATGCCGCCTGGGATACACCCTTCTGCTTGGGTAGAGAAGGTTCTCGGGCCTCCGTTGCTTACTCACGTGTTGTGGGCGTGGATGTAGACGTGGTGCAGGACCGCCTGGGACAGGGAGAAGACATGGACAACAACTCGCTGCAGGATGTCACTGGTCTCCGCAAAGAACTGGTCGAAGCCCCAGCACTTGGCCTGCTCCACCTCCAGGATGTTGGCCAGGATGGGCACCAGCTGGCTCTGCAGCCCCCTGTGCCCCAGGACATGCAGACGGTCAGGAGGGCCCAGGTCCCAGACTTGTCCTCTTGGAGTAGGTAATAGGGCATTCCCTGAGAATGTCCCCAAGAGCTAGGACCAAGGCTGTGGGGCAGGGTGGGATGGGGAGGAAGAGCTGGAAGAACCCATTCCGGCATGAGGATGGAAACAGTGAGGTGGAAAGGGAAAGTCGTATGCCCCAGCTGACTGCATGCCAGGGGCCTCCGAGGTAGGGCGGGACTCTCAGCAGGGGTAGGTGACACCAGCCCAGACTCCAGTCTGTCTGCCCCTCCTGCAGGGCCCCACTCACATGGACAGCCGGCAGGTGATGGGGAGGGTGTAACTCCACTCCAGGGGCCCGTTCTCCCGCCTCTGAGTGCCTGCAATGGCCCCGGCTGGCTTCTCCGTGGTGATCCGGTACCTGGGGCGAGGCAGGACCAGGTCAGCGGGGCTCCTGGCCCATCACACTTCACGGGATGGCAAACTCAGCGTGGAGGGCTCGGAGCGTTGGTTCCCATCAGTCAGCCACTCCAAATTAGCTTGGAAACGGAATTTGAGAGTCCTGGCCCTCAGCCAACAAGATTCCCAGTCAGGCTCTCGGCCCCTTTCCACTGTCCACTTCCTCCACCCCCTTACTGCACATCCCCCGATCTGGCCGGCCTCGGCACCTCCGTCCTCGCTGTGCTCCACTTCACAGACCCTCCCCTCCCTTCAAAGTCCCGCCTTCCCTGACAGCTCCCGCCTGTCGATCTCCTTCCCCTTGCCCTAACCTAATCCAGGTTCCACACAGCTGGACCCCTGAGCTGAGGGTGGGTGTTTCGACCTTCCCACGAATCTACCTTAAACCTCTTCTGCTCTGAGCAGTGCCCTCAGTGGGAGCAGCCACCGACTGAAGCTACTTCTGGAGCAGCCGGCAGGAAACCCGGGAAGGCCTCCCACAAGGGATCAGGGCCTGGGTCCTTGCCCCACCTTTGCCCCTGGCAGGTTCCACAAGCTTTGGAGCCTCTGCTGAGATGGGGGAGCCACTCGTGGAGGGAGGCTAAAGGGAAGCACTGAGCTGAGGGACCGTGATCATCTCCCATCAGTCAGGGCGGGCTCAGCTTCCTGTTTCATTGGCTGGTAACAGAGGATCGGAAAGGAGCCTGGGTGGGGGTGGCCCAGAGGAGGACCACAGAGTGAGAGGTGGAGTAGGAGATACAGCAGGGACCAATGGAGGAAGGTCCAGGGCCCGTCCCTTCTCATTCCCTGTCCGTGGCCCACCGTACATCATCTCCTTGTTGCGCCGTGGTCCACCGAAGGGGACGAAGGGCAGGCTGCCGGTGGCTGCGTGGTACAGGGTTACCCCAATGCTCCAGAGATCCACGGTCACCCCAAATGTCTTCTGCTGGGGCTTGCGAAGCACTGCCCGTTCATACATGTCAGGGTGCTGTGAAAGGGAGAATGAGAGGGCAGCCACGGAGACGTGGGTGGGCAAGGGCTGGAGCCCCCATCCATCAGACCTCCTTCCACCACCTTTGGTGAAAACAGAACTATCAGAACCATCTCCTTTGTCATTTCAAAAATGGGTATGGGGGCACCTGGGTGACTCAGTTAGTTAAGCATCCAATTCTTGGTTTCGGCTCAGGTTATGATCTCACAGTTCATGAGTTCAAGGCCTATATCGGGCTCTGCACTGACACCGGAGCCTGCTTGGGATTCTCTCTCTCAAAATAAATAAATAAGATCAATGAAACCAAGAGTTGGTTTTTTGAAAAAATAAACAA